CATTAGAGGCAAGTCAAAGATTCTCTCGAGACGGTCTATTTATTTTAACAAAATTTTCTTCTAACTTAATAAGGGGCCCTTAGCAAATATGTTATCGCACTTTCTGGTTTTATATTTAATATTATATTTTAGTGCTAAAGTTAAATTTTGCAAAATTTTAAAAACTTTTCTTCCGTAGTTCCAGTGTTATTTTTATTGCCTTTCTTTTTTTTATTTTTGTTTGTTACTGTTTTTGTTTCTGTATAAGATCGACGGTCCAGATTCTTTATAAGGTAGTCCTGTCCATGTGTTTTTTAGACCCGTTAATCTGATAATGTGTTATTAATAGCTTTTTTACGATATCAAGAAACGAGCGAACAAGTCGTGCGGTTGGTGATAAGCGACATGTCTCTCAAGCAACTGTTATTAGTTGTAGTGTCTGTCACTAACGACCTTTAAAGCGCAAAGCTCTGATGACACCGCTACCTTGACCAAAAATTGGTAAGTCCTATGTGCCTGTAACTTTACCAGCACTCTTAGGCTCGGCGTCCAATGACGGCATAGCACGGAATTTTTAGGTGACGAAATGCTTTCTGTATATTTTTGTCTTATGATATTATCGTTGACATTTCAATTATAATAATGGTCATTAAAAGCAAAGTTGCAGTAAGCTTAGGAATACCGAGACTGCAGAATCCGGAATTTCTCGGCAGCTTGCGAAGGTTATTCACCTAAAAACTTTTCCCTCTCGGACTATGGTTTTCTTTGTCTTCTTCAGCAAGACTGCCATTTTTAAACTGGTAGTAAACCAGCTTCTAAAGTTACGATTGTTCTGAAGAGAAACTAGGCGCGAGCACGACGTCGTGACGATATGCTTCAGATAAAGTGGCATAACCGCCGTCAGTGTGCGCTTGCATGTAAGAATTCTGAAGAATTCTTTGCTATGCCGTTTCGCTGATGGGCGCCGGGCCTTATCCTTCAAAAGCGGAATGCAGTACCTACCACTCGTATTACTATTACTGGTTGGCGGCAGAAATGGGTATCATGACAGTGGTTCCCTGGACGAATTATTTCATAATAATCTATATTCCACTTAAAAAGAATTCACTTCCACTTAAAAAAAGAATGAAAAAATTCAGCCGTTAAGTGGCCACCATGGTTTAACACCGCTGGATTATTTTTATGGAGTTATGTTAAAGACAGAGTCTATACGGTGCCAATCGAATCGATTGCAGCCTTAAAACTCAAAATTCGTGAAACGATTAACGAAATACAACCATCATTTTGTCAAAAGGGATAAAAAACTTCGATGAAAAAATCCACATCTGTAACTGTGGTCTTGGTGGACATTTATCAGATATCATTTTTCATTCATATTTACCTTACTTTTTTTAATACAATAAAAATTTTAATCATTGTCATCTAAATTTGTTGTTTTATTTTGATTTACAAAACAAAATTCTTGTTGAAAAACCCTTTATAATCAAATTTAGTTTACTGTTGTGATAGGATTATGTTTGCATTGTTGTTTTTTTTTTGTTATTTTATTTTTTGTTTTACTTTTGCTCTGTCTTTTTTTACTTCTTTCTATATATTTTTGTGTTGCGGCGTTGTAATAAATGATTTCTATTCTATTCTAAAATTGGATCCAGTTTGTGACTATAAAATCTATTGCTCAGGAGACTCGAAGACTGACTTGAAACGAGTAACGTTTACTAAAAAAATCCATTTTCTCTATTGAAAAACATAATCAATTACTTTTTTTTCCTTACATATTCCGAAACTTAATCAAACAGAAAGCTGATTGTTTAATAACATTAGGGCAGGTGTGGTGAGTCATCCGTTAAGGCGTCAATATAGCCGGCAACAGGGAAAGACAATAGGGTGTTTATATGATGCGTAAAAGTTTTATATTTTAATATTTATTTAGTAAATTACTGAAGGGGGAGAAAGTTTGTAAATATTTTAGGAAAATCCAACCTAAACTAGGTTTAATGGAATTAATACAGAAAATATAGACTTTATTGAGATCGTTATTATAATAATAACAAATAAAGGCGTCCTTTTCAACTGCCATTCTTTCAGAGTATTCTCGATCATTACAATGTTAGATTCTTGTGTGTGTTTATATTATAAATCTTTTATGGTGATGAGAACATTTTACGAAAATTAATAATTATTTTGATTTTTAACTAAGGAAATCTACTAATTTCAATTTTTAAAGCAAGTAAATACAATACATAAAATACTTAAAAAGCACACAATTGTGATCATACAAAAATGCTTTTATCATACGAAAGATGCTTATACCGTCAGGGATAGTACAAATCCGCGCATCTAGTATTGGTAATTGGCTTCGACTTCGATTTTTGTACAGTGAACATTAATTTATGTTGTGTACGGACAGATAACAACAGATTCCCGTAAATCACGCTAATTTGGTTGCCACGACATTTACGCAAATTTGATTTGGTCACTAAATTACCGAAATGGAAACTCATAATCCAATGCTAGTTACGCGTACTATCCCCGACGATATGTGAAATTCTTCTGTATAAGTATAAAAAAAGTTGTCGACTAATTTCGTTTTTAGTAATTAAGCCTCTAAATCTAAATTATCATTTTGAAACATTTGTCATGTGGCCTTGTTAAATTAAAGGTCTTCATCAACCCATTTAGTACGTTCCACTATAGGGCACGGGTGTCCTCTTAGGGTTTAGACACAGTCCACCATGGTGGCCCGATGCGGGTTGGGGACTTTACTCGTTATTCTGAGGATTGTAAATCTTCTTCGACATGCAGATTTCATCACGATGTTTTCCTTCACCAAATAGCTTATGGTAAATTTCAATTTAAATTTTTCACATACATTTCGGAAAACTCAGAGGTGCGACAGACGTTCTCTGCTTGAGAGACGGTATGTCAAAACATTAAAGGTGCGAATTGTAATTTTAAATTTACATTATTTTTGTAACGGTAGATTAATAATTTGTATGTACTTAGAGTCACCAATTAGGTTTATGGTAGAAATTATTTAGGTAATCTTTGATTGGTAGATGACTGATTGATGAAGTGTTCGTTCAGGTAAGTACTGCCACCTTACCTATTTCTGCCGCCAAGCATTAATGTGAGCATTACTGCGTTCCGGTCTTGCGGGGTAAGGGTGCTGGTGAAATTATAGGCACATGGGACTTGTCAACTTATGTCTCAGGGTAACGGGCGCAGCAGCAGTGCCCCTCAGATCTTTGCCATTTAAAGCTCTAAGTGGGCACTCCTACTGTCATGGATAGGCGTGTCGCTTAACACCAGGCGCACGACTTGTTCGTCCCGTCACATATTATTATTTTAAAAAAAGTAGTCGGTCAGACATATTTGATCCCGTTCCACTGGATCAAAGTGAGAAGGAACGTGTGTGTTTGCGTTTGCGCGGACGTTTGCTCACTTTTCAAGTATTGTATGTTGCATAATAAAGACCGATTCTGTTTTTTTTCAGACTTCTATTTTATCGTAATTGATTTTTTTTTATTGTATAGTTGATTTATACGTAGTATCTGTACGACCAACATTTACCTTCGTTCGTCTTGTCGCTTTATGTACGTAAAAAAAAGAAGATTAGGTATACTGTAGTTAGAAAACTTATACAGATTTGTTTCGTGCGTCATTGTGCTATATTATTGTTATTTTCTTGCACCAAGACGTACCTAAATGTGTATTAGCAGGTCTGGTGACTGTTACAATTGGTACTTCTAAATTAACATTAAACGATGACTCAATAATACCACCATATTCCACATTTCCCCTCCAATTAAAACCCGTTGTCTTAAACACGTCCCTAGGTATAAAATAATCATAACTGTCTTATGCCATAGTACTAATACTGTAGTAGCAATCATCCATTTTCTTTGCTATTTAAAGCTCTGAGTGGTACTGCAACTGCTTTGGTCAGGCGCGTTGCTTCCCACCAAGGGCACGACTTGTTCATCCTGTCACTAAATGTTTTTCAATGATTGAAATTGATTAAAACTAATTTCTTGGAAGAAAAGGCATACAAGCCATCATACTATATAGTTTGCAAAGCGAGTGAAATGTTTTGATTCTTACCCTTTTTAATTTTTATGGCATTTTTTACGTAGAAATGTGTTGTTTTTTTACGAAAATTTTCCTTCCCCTAAACATAGGTATAGAACTTGAAAATTTTAGCCAATTAAATCAATAGATTATTTTTCATAAAAAATTTTGGTTTTGGTCTTTTTCTTCCACGATGTATCAAATAATAATATCTACGTATCGAGTTCTTAGGTTTTTTTTTATAACAACAAGTAACGGGGCGAACAAGTCGTGTGCGTGATAAACTACACGCCTGTCTATAACAATTACAGTGTCACTCATAGCTTAAAATTGCAAAGATCTGTGGGTCATTACCACTGCGCCTGTCATCCTGAGACATAAGTTGACAAGTCCCATATGCCTATAATTTCACCAGCACCCTTACCCTTCAAAACCGGAATACAGTAATGTTGATATTAGTGCTTGGCGACAGAAATAGATAAGGTGGCAGTACTACCCTAGACAAATTCTTTCACAAGGAGCTCTACTGCTGTTTTACTCCCACATATTTGTTTTTCCAGACAAACAACATTTCGACTTTAATATCATCTCAGTCAGCCGTGACCTGTGTTTTATTTCGCAATAATGATTATGTATATGATATAAAAGTATAGAGTACTCCTGTAGAGTAAGAAGCTATCGGCAAAAGTAACTAATGTATTTTTTTACGAATAAGAAGATGAATGAAGACAGTACCAACAAAATAGGCTTTATTTCTATGTCAATAGCGAAGGCGAATAAATAGCCTCCTATTATAAAAACAAATAAAAAACCATTGAGACGCTAAGCTTTTTGAATTTACACAGCGTGGAAGGCTAGACGAAATATCGTAAATCAACCAGTGACTCACCAAAACACCCGCTGCCCGTCCAATTTTGAGTATCCACGCCCCATGCGTCAGTATATATCCTGCCGGGCATTCGGGCTGCACGTGTCGCATTCTCATGCGCTCGATTTTGCAAGTTTCGCGTAACGTAGATACAGTAACTACATTACGAACTTCTTCGAGTATTTGTGTTCTGAAGATTGTGTGTGAAGGATTATTACGAAAACCTTTTCAAGGTGAGTTTTTCTGTTGTGAATTTATCTAGTTTAATTATTTGCGGTTTTCTTTCTTTTCTGTTCAATTACAATTGGAGTATTTGTTTTTATTGATTCTGTTTTAAGATTTGATTCAAATATAGTGTATTTACGTGAAAACAGTATTTCTAAATTTATTTCATTACTTCCCATGTGGTATTTACAAATTTATTTTCAAAACTGTACATTTGTTAATATTAAATTGTGGTAATAATTATTTTTATTGCTTACGTTGATATGGTACACATCGCATGTTCAAAGCCATACGTCACTATTACGCAAGTGTCGCTTTTTTCAAATTTAAACTTATGCTCATAAACTTTACGTACGACGTACTTTAAACTTTTCGTTTAGTGACGGTAATAAATTTTACAAATAAAATAAAAAAGTACATGGTTTATTTATATATTAATCCTCTTAAAGACTACATAAATGTGCACAAATTGTATCAGACAATAATTTAATCTTTAATTAAAAAAATAGTCAATAATAATAAGGCTATTGGGTAATATTAATATCAATTCATTGAAACATTACTCCATACTATACCAACCCAGTCCTACTACTGAACACGGGTCTCAATTAAACTCTACATATATTAAAAACAGACACAACGTAATTAATATTATGTTATATACATGTTAGTGGTTATAATTACATATGTACGTGATAAATTGAAGTTTAGTTTATTAATGTACTCAAAAATTATTCGAAACCATTATTTCTTACTAGGGTATTTGACAAGTTTAAGAAATTTTTACTTTAATAACATTTGAAAAATTAGTTAAACAAAATTTCGAATGTGAAACGGGAACTTGGTATTCGATGGAAAAAAATAATTTAAATAACATAAAATATTGTTTTAAATAACCACTACCAATAATACCAAATAATAGCACCATACTACCTACATATTAATGATGGCTTTGCTAAAAAGCGACAGAGAATATATCTACCACTAACTTTATCCATTAATATCCATGGTGTTAGTGGAGAAATAGAAAAATGAATCAGTTTCAGCATATTCACGTGAACTGTTTGTATAAATGAAAAAGTTTTGTCAAATACTCTGTTATAATTACATTTTGTGTGTATTCAGTAATTGTAGAATTTGTTTTAGGCACGAATTATTTCTTATACCTTGGTTAACACTTTACTGCATTATTTAGTAGCAGTAGAGCTCCTGGTGAAACTGTTCGTCCAGAGAAGTATTACTACCTCACCTATTTTTGCCGCCAAGAAGTATTGCGAGCGTTAATGCGTTCCGGTTTTAAAGGGTAAAAATGGTAGTGAAATTAGCAGTACATGAGACTTATCATCTTATGTCGATGAACGCAGGTTGATGAACGCAGTGACAGTGCACCTCAGATCTTTGCAATTTAAAGCTCGAAGTGACATTAGAACTGTTATGGACAAGAGTGTCGCTTACCATCAGGCGCACGATTTATTTGTTCCGTTACTTGTTGCAGTCCATGTGTACGATAGTCCGAGAATCAAAAGCAGCAATTGATATTTTTAATGGGAAAATTGTACAATTTTTTATTTCTGAAACAATTCGATTTTTTTCAGAAATTACCAATGCTAACGATTACTTGAGGGTTTAAATATGATAATGGTAAAATCCGAAGAACAAAGTCCGATGTGATTATACAACGAAAATAGGATATATGTATACATAATCTCCTTATTCAAAATAAGACCTAGCTATAGGTGTTTTCATTATTTGATGTATTATTTCGTTTCGGAAATATAAAATCGATCAATGGTCGCTCTGATATCCAGAGCGAAGAACAGCGAACGAAATGTATAATATCCTGAGAATAAGCAGTCTTGCATATATAAGTCTTTGTTCTACGGATAAGTCGATTTTTTATCGCGAATTCCACTGTAGAGTCGGACGGACTATTACGGACGTGATTTTGTTGACAATTTAAAATAGAAGATTTCGACAGTGATATGCTTATAATAAAGTCAGAATTTGGAATCATAAACGATCTGAATACAGTGGTATGCTACAGGTAACATCCGTGCTTCCATTTCGACTTCAAAAAATGCACTGAGCTCCTGAGTAAGTCAGTGTTGTTGCATGCAGTTAGTTTCAGTAAACATTGCTCGTAATGCAAATGTGTTAATAGAGATCGTTATTAAACAAACGCGTGGGTATCCAACACGGTCTGCTTGTTATTTTCAGGCCTAAACCCTTGCCAGTGGAGTAATCGCCAACCACCTTTATTCAGAGCCCTGTCTTAGGTGTTAAGGATAAGTGGATAGAGAGAAGAATAGAGTGGGACTTGCCTGGTTTGAGAAAACAAATATGCACGATTTTAAGCCTCAAAAATATAGTTTTATTTCTAGAAGAGAAACTTGTTAAATGTAAAAGGGAACCGAATGGAAAAGATGTTTAAGCACCCAATTCGTCACGACAGTTTTCATATAAGCAATATTTACATTATTTTAACTTTAATCTTTCAGGTGTCTATATATATGGTTAATATCTTTTTCACCTCACTAGCTCGGAAAGACTTTCTTTCTCATTAGAAATCAGCGCGCAAAAGCGTTTTTGCATGCTAGCGCAAAAAACCTTTTCCACGCTAGCGTGGAAAATGTTTTTGAAATTGGTACTTGACGTTGAACTGTGGTGAACCTAACTTTTTATTTCCAGAAGAAAGAAGAAGAATTGAAAAAGAAAAAGAGTTTTTTCAATGAGACTGCACAGACTTGTATAAGAAACGGACCACAGACTGCTATAAGCTACTATAGTAGTAGCAAATATGATATAAGGCCATCATAATAATTATGTTGGGTTGGGTATATTTAACAGGTCTTCGGTTTTAATTGAAGGGGTCATTTATGGTTTTACTGTGCCGCCGCTTAATGTTAATTTACGAGGACTAATTACTAAGTTGGCTATATGTAACAACTGTGCAAATTTAAAATTTTACTTTTAAATTTAAAAATATTAAGGGTTTTTTATTACTGCCTTTTTATTTTCTTTATTGTTTTGTTTTCTGCTATAGTCTGTCTTTTTTGAAGACGGAGTAAAATTACATTTGCAAGGTAGCCATATTCATAAAATTTTATATAGTAATGTAGTTGTTATCAATAGTTTTATCGATAGATTGTGAAAGAAGATAACATTTTGTCAAAAATGTCTGAATGTTACCACGTTCTAATGATGCAGATTAACAGGCAGATTTGATAACCTATATTGAATTTTTTATAACACCAAATGACGGAATAAACAAGTCGTGGGCCTAGTGGTAAGCGACACCTCTGTTCATAACAGTTGCAGTGGCACTCAGAGCTTTAAACCGAAAAGACCGGATGGGCACTCTGCACCTGTCACCCTAAGACGTAAGTTGATAAGTCCCATGTACCTGTAATTTCACCTATCCTTCAAAACCGGAACGCAATAATGCGAGCATTACAGCTTGGTGGCAGAAATAGGTAAGGCGGCAGTACTTACCTGAACTAACTCTTTCACAAGGAGCTCTACTGCTATTAAATTACTTTTTTTTCATAACATCAAGTGACGGGGCGAACAAGTCGTGCGCTTGATAGTAAGCTACACGCCTGTCCATAACAGTTCAAGTGTCACTCAGAGCTTTAAATTGCAAAGATCTCAGGGGCACTACCACTACACCTGTCACCCTGAGACATAAGTTGACAAGTCCCATGTGGCTGTAATTTCACCAGCACCCTTACCATTCAAAACCGGAACACACTAATACTGATATTACTGCTTGGCAGCAAGAATAGGTAAGGTGGCAGTACTACCCTGGACGAACTCTTTCACGTGGAGTTCTACTGCTACTAATTAATAATATACTGTTTTAAAAAAACCACACCCATTACCTGGTCTCATACTAGGACATTCGCTTTACTTTGAATACGTGAGCAACGGAATTCCGTCTGGGGTACTTGCCAGAGTACCCAGACCAGAACCAATTTAGAAAATTTCATTTTTTAATTTGGTCCTACGGGGAATCGAACGCGGAACCTCCTCATCGAGTGCCCACAGTAGCACCCGTGCCCGACCCGGGCCACCGAGGTCGTCAATTGTAAGTAATTAAGGTATTGGTACTAAATCATAAATTATGTACGTCAATTATAAATTATTGTGACGCCGCCATAGAGATTCGAACCATCGACCACTCTATTCAAAAACAACCAATACAATACAAATATACTTTATTGCACACAGAACAAATACATTACAAAAAAAACAAAAGACAGGTACAACAGACCTTATTGCTAGTGACACCGTTTATTAACGACTCACCCACACTACGAGGAATTTCAACACGCAGCAGTGCGAGCGCACACAGTACACATAGAAATATTTTTGTACGACGAATGAGTGGTATACGAAAAAACTACTTTAGTTTCTGTTATGGTGGCACTTCACACGGATAGTTGTATTTGCATATTTGATATATTTGGCAAATAATCACCATATGTAGATAGCATGTGTGACAAAAGTATTTGCCTTGTTTGCCTATTCGACAAATACAGCAAACACTAAACTCGCGCTTTTATTATAATATCAAGTGATGGGACGAACAAGTCGCATGTCTAATGGTAAGCTACACGCCTGTCCAGTTGCAGTGCCACTCAGAGCTTTAAATCGCAAAGATCTGCGGGACTCTCCCACTGCACCCGATATCCTGAGACACAAGTTGACACATGTCCCACGTATACGGTGCAATAATATCGTACATTGTGTTTATGCGGCATTTTACGTATTCATGCGACATTTAGTTATAATTTATATTTAGTTCACAATCACTCATCGCGCAGTGTACTCATTTCACACCTATCAAATGTATCATTGTTAGTTGTAAATCAGAACTAATAAACACTCTTAACAGGTATCATACTATCATTTCTAAGTGTATGGAACACCGTATACATCTTTATGGTCCTTCGAGCCGGAGCCTGTCTGTAATTTCACCACCACCCTTACCCTACAAAACCGGAAC